CAGAATGAATAGAGAATCAGCTATGAGAATCCAGTTATCTTCTATGAATACAGGCATTAAGGAGATTGAAAAAAAATGTAAAACACTTATTACTAAATATTTTTTGGAAGACATAGTTATTCACAAAATGTCTATGTTAACATGTAAATATTTATTACTTTCATTTTTTTAACACATTAATATCTTCACAATATCTGAGTTTTAATTTCTAACAGAGTACGTATTAGTAGATACAACCCAAATAAACTGATGGTCTTTCGGATCCTTAACAACTTTGAAGAGTGAAAAGAAATCCTTAGAACAAAATGTTTGAGATGCTGCCTTGCTGCATTTGATCATGGAAGCTTTTCCACGTGGAACAGCTTAAGTATACAAGGCGTCTTCAAAAAGTTCATGAAACATGCATATTATTTAAAAACTATGCATGGATTTCCTTTTTTTTTTTTTTTTTTTTTTTGCAACAAATAAACTTGTACTAACTTGTTGTAGCATGTCTGAACAGGATCTAGGCTGAGGCTCTAAGAAGGAGAAGACATCAGTTTGAAAAGACCCCCTACCAGAGAAACATGAATCCTGCTAAAATTGAAGCAAGAAGAAACATCAAACTTATGGTGAAGTTTGGGTGGAAGAATGGCAAAATCACTGATGTTTTACAAAAAGTTTATAGGCACAATGCCCAAAGAAATCAGCAGTTTACAAAAGGATAACTCATTTTAAGAAAGGACGAGGCCAGGCGCGGTGGTTCATGCCTATAATCCCAGCACTTCGGGAGGTCAAGGCAGGCAGATTACTTGAGGTTAGGAGTTTGAGACCAGCCTGGCCAACATGGTGAAACCCCATCTCTACTAAAAGTACAAAAATTAGCTGGGCATGATAGTGTGTACCTGTAATCCCAGCTACTTGGGAGGCTGAGGCAGGAGAATCGCTTGAGCCCAGGAGGCAGAGGTTGCAGTGAGTCGAGATCGCACCACTGCACTCCAGCCCGGGCAACAGAACAAGACTGAGTCTCAAGAAAAAAGAAAAGAAAAAAAAAGAAGAAGAAGAGATGAGACAACATTGAAGAGGCAGCCTGCAGCAGCAGACCATCCAGATAATTTTTTGAGGAAAATATTCATCTTGTTCATGCCCTCACTGAATACGACCAACAATTAATAAAACAAACCAATAGCCAATATCACAGACATCTCTGCTGGTTCAGCTTACACAGTCCTGGCTGAAAAATTAACACTGAGCAAACTTTTTACTAGATGGTGCCAAAACCATTGCTCCCAGATCAGCTGCCAGTGAGAGCAGAGCTTTCAAGGGAAATTTTTAACTGGTGGGATCAAGATCCTGAAGCATTTCCTCAAAGAACTGTAACAGGTGATGAAACATGGTTTCACTAGCACAATCCTAAAGATCAAGCCAAATTCAAGCAATGGCTACCAAGGGCAGAAGTGGTCCAGTCAAAGCAAAAGTGGACTGGTCAAGGGCAAATGGTGGCAAACAAAATAGACATTTTGTTTGTTGACTTTCTGGAGGGCCAAAGAACGATAACATCTGTTTATCAAGAGAATGTTCTGAGAAAGTTAGCCAAAGCTTTAGCAGAAAAAGGCCTGGGACAGCTTCACCAGAGTCCTTCTCCACCATGACAATGTTCCTGCTCATTTCTCTCATCAAACAGGAGCAATTCTGCAAGAGTTTCCATGGGAAATCATGAGGCATCCACCTTACAGGCCTAATTTGACTCCTTCTGACTTCTTTTTGCTTCTCAATTTTAAAAAATCTTTAAAGAGCACCATTTTTTCTTCAATTAATAATGTAAAAAAGACTGTGTAAACATGGTTAAATTCCCAGGACCCTCAGTTCTTTAGAGATGGACTCAATGGCTGTTAACATTGCTTACAAAAGTGTCTTGAACTTGATAAAGTGTATGTTGAGAAATAAAGCTCATGTGTATATATGTTTTTTACTTTTTAATTCCATTTTTCCACAACATGTTTTGAAGTTTCCTCATATTCTATGGAACATACAATAGAAAACACAATCTCATGGCATGCTTATACAATGATTCCTTCACATGCCTCTTCTCCCGAGACATGACCCAGTGAATTAATTAGATGCTGATCAAAGGGTTTCCTCGCAGACTGTAGTTTTGTGTTTATGATGCTGGCAGTAAATGCATATGTCTTCTCTGGCAAATGCAGTTGGTGCTGACCTCATCTCTTTAGAAAAGGCCTTAACCTGGAGAATTATTTCGCCTAGCAAACGTTGTAAGTAGTCAAGAGAATGCTCCTACAGCAGATAATCCTTCGCTATGAGATACAGTGACAGTGGTGTTCCAAGAACAGAAAATCTATCATGCTGTTAGCATCATGGCCAGTGTGATTTACTGTCTTGTTTCCAACAACAAAATCACTGATTGAGGTACATACCTATGCTACAAATTATTCTTTTATAAAATGAACAGAGTAATGACAATTTGTGTTTGCAAAAATGGTATGCCAGCCAAAAATAACTTAAGAACTAATTCATATTTCAACCACGGTTTTTTAGAATATAGAGTAAGTCCAATTCTCTACTTGCGGAAAGACTGGAAGTCCCAATTACAGAATTTGGTTATAAATCTCTTTCTCTTGTCAGGCATCCGAATGACTGGCCAGAAGCCTGTTCTCAGATGGCTATAAAAGATTTTGGGAAAAAGTCAAATGTGTAAAGTGCTGAACAATGATTCCATGCAAAAACTCCCCAAGGAAACTCAGTCCAAATACTACATAGAGCTGGACTGCGGTACAGGCTGTTCAGTCCTCTCATTTTCATTCTGGAATTTGTCCAAATAATAGGAGCCATTAAGTTATACATGTCATTTTTAAAATGTTCCTCAAAGATGACCAGAATCTCATCTTTGAAAGCTGAAGATACTCATCTAGGTATCCTGTTTCTTTTTACCTAAGATGTGAAATTAAATTAGCATACAATCTGCCTCTAGTAAAATTTTCTTGAATGACAATGTTTTTATGGCTATAAATGCTTACTAAGTTTCAGGTCCAGTGATACTTCATTTAGTCTTTCCAGCAACTCTACTGGATAAATACTGTAATTATTCCCATTTAACAGATAAGAAAACAGACTCAATTGCCTGAGGCCACCCAGTTTATGGGTGCAGAAGTAGGATTAGAATACAAGAAGTTAGCCCCTCTGAATCACCAAGCCTAATGCTGTCACGCCCACTTGAGATGGATGCATGGACAATAACATGAAATGATTTATAGTATGAGAGTTTGATTCTATGAGTGAAATGGTGGTTTTGAGCTCCATATTAGCCTTTATTTCACAAAGCCTTCTCTACACTTTGGGTGTGTGTTAGGCTGTCTTCTCAGTCCTTCTGTTATGTTCTATACATGGATCATGTGGTCCTATTCCCCACTAATGCTCCTGCCTGCCTACAAGCCTCTGTTAATATCATCTCCAACAGCACCTGCAACAGCAATTCTGAATGACTAGAAGAACCAACAAATGAACAAGCAAAAGGGCATCTACTTGGTGCCAAGAACATTAATTTCTAAATAAGTTTCTTACACCCTAGAGAGTATATAAAATAACGTAATGGAGCGCAGAGAGAAAACTTCAGCATTTCTATTCAGATTTCAAACTTGAAAATATGAGAACCTTTCAAGGCTTCACTGACAGTTGACATGTGAATTGACACTTGCATTCTCACCCTGTACATGTGGCAGAAAGCTTGAGTCATATGTGACTTGCCTTGCTTGGCACCCAAAACAACGCTGAGACTCCACAGTCCATGGGGTTAGCCGTGGAGCCCTGAGCTCAACTGAGAAAGTGGCTATTTGCATTGTATTTTCAATTTTATCTCAGCTAATTCTCATAAAATGGACAAGCATCTTCAAATGAGTCCTGCCCAGAACTACAACGAATGCTAATAACAAAGCAAGCACAAATGAACAAGAAAAGAGCAGAGCTTTTACCATGTCTCATATTTTTTTTCAACCACATCATGGGCTAATAACAAGCTAATCAGATTTGACCTGAGGTTTGTGAAAGAGAAAAACACAAAGAACCCCTAATAGCATCAAACCTTAGATACATATCCACCGTTCTTATCAACGACCTTTGCCTAAGTGAACATTATGCCTTGGGAAACTGGCCAGTAGCATTTTTACACAGTTTACGAATAACTATATTTTTCTTTTCTTTTTTTTTTTTTTTTTGAGACAGCATCTCACTCTGTCGCCCAGACTGGAGTGCAGGGGCAGCGATCTCGGCTCACTGCAAGCTCCGCCTCCCAGGTTCACGCCATTCTCCTGCCTCAGCCTCCTGAGTAGCTGGGACTACAGGCGCCCACCACTGCGCCCGGCTAATTTTTTGTATTTTCAGTAGAAACGGGGTTTCACCGTGTTAGCCAGGATGGTCTCGATCACCTGATCTCGTGATCCGCCCACCTCGGCCTCCCAAAGTACTGGGATTACAGGCGTGAGCCATTGCGGCCTGCAAATAACTATATTTTTCGTAATAGGATTGCAAATGTGGAGATTTAGAACTTTGCCACTCAAAGTGCAACCTGCAAAAGGCAGAATGAGCACCTCTTGGCAGCTTGTTACAGATGTAGTCTTGGGGTCCATCCAGACCCACTGAATCAAGATTCACATTTTAACAAGATCCCCAGGTGACTCATGAGCACATTTCAGTTTGAGAAGCACGGCTTTAGAACATTCGTCTGGAATAATGTACATCTTAACACTTCTGCTCTTAATTAGTAGTTTTAGACTGATTTCTCTTGAATTTTTGAACTCAAAAACTGACAATTTCTCATATCTGTTTTCAAATGTGCTTCAAAACTATAAACTAGCACCATAAACAAAAAATTCAGCTAAGTAATCAATTTATAACTGCAGGACTAATCCCTTATTCATTTCAGCATACTTAAAATAAATTTTCTGACCCCTATACAATTAAAAACCAGCCAGCCACACCTTAGTCTTTTGGATCTCCATCTCACTTACTTTTGTTTGATCGTCGGCTTTGAACACATGGCAGATACTCTGCCGATGGACGGTGTCTTCCTTAATCAGACAAGCAAAGTAACTTGGGTCATGACTGTTGTGAATCAGTTTGTGAACATGCTGAGGCTTGCACTCAAAGATGCTGGAACAGATCAGGGGATCCCACTGTTGACTTCTCCCTGGCTCAGGTTCACATCTCAGTCCAGAGGGAGAAACGCAAAGTCGGACTTGCTTGGTTACAGGTTCCTTTCTGGAGGACTGCCTGCTGAGTCTTCGCACCTCGGCCACAACCCAGGGCAGCATGGGCATGGTGGTCAGGGAATGCACAGGCAGGGAGCCCACCAGCTGCAGGCCAAAGTCCACCGAGACCTCGTTAGGAAGCGGATGTTTCCTTGCCGTGAATGTTATTGGTTCCATCTTGGGAAGGGTCTGGGAACTCAGCAAAACAGTTACCGCTGTTTTTCTGTTTTAGATCAAGCAATCTATTTTACACACTTCATATGCAGAAACCTGGGGGAGGAAACCAGAGGCATTAGAATTTAATGAAGTCATAGCAATAGCTACCTTCAAAGGGCTATTATTTCAGAAGAACTCAAAAGCCTGAAACCCAAATGTAGTAAGAGGTTCAAATAAGCTCCTCTGCCTAGACAGAGCTTTCTGAAAATTGTATTCCACATAAAACCTGGTCACGGCATAACTGTCACACTCATTACAGGTAACAAAGAGTCCACTGGGAAACTATTATGAAACATAAGCCTCCTAAAGCCAACAAAGGCCCCCATGATAGAAGATGACACAGTGCTACTCTGAGAGCATTAAACCTCATTGTATTATTTAACATATATTTCAATAAATTTTTAAAAGATAGTCAAATTCAGTATAAGTGACTTCCCCAAGAAATAACTCTTATGGGAAGAAATAGCTGCTATCATCACCATAGTCTACTGAACCAGATCAGTTTTAAACAACTGATCTGGGACAAGTAATATCACATACGATATTACTCACATTTTAAAAGACTCAGCCAGGTAGTCTAGAGGTTCTGAATCACAAATCCACCTTCCATTAACATGTATTCACTGCCTATTATGTTGCAAACATTGTCTTAAACATTGTTTTATTCAATTCATGTGCTATATGCTATCACCCCAACACCTGGCTTCTTCTCATCAATAGATATCAATGTTAGGCCAGGTGCAGTGGCTCACACCTGTAATCCCAGCACTCTGGGAGGCCAAGATAGGTGGATCACCTGAGGTCAGGAGTTTGAGACCAGCCTGGCCAACATGGTGAAACCCCATCTCTACAAAAAATACAAAAATTAGCCTGGTGTGGTGGTAGGTGCCTGTAATCCCAGCTACTCAGGAGGCTGAGGCACGAGAATTGTTTGAACCCGGGAGGCAGAGGCTGCAGCAAGCCCTGGGTAACAGAGTGAGACCCTCTAAAAAAAAAAAAAAAAAAAAAAAACCTGCTTCTGCCAAACCCAAACCCAAACCCAAACTCCCTCAACTACATTTCTCTGTGTTCTTTCTTTCTTTCTTTCTTTTTGAGACAGGGTCTCGCTCTATTGCCCAGGCTGGAGTGCAGTGGCACGATCGTGGCTCACTGCAACCTCCACCTCCTGGGTTCAAGCAATTCTCCTGTCTCAGCCTCCCAAATAGCTGGGATTACAGGCATGCACCACCATACCTGGCTAATTTTTGTATTTTTAGTAGAGACAGGGTTTCACCATGTTGGCCAGGCTGGTCTCGAACTCCTGGCCTCAAGTGATCCGCCCACCTTGGCCTCCCAAAGTGCTGGGATTATAGGCATGAGCCACAGTGCCCAGCCCTTCTCTGTTTTCAACAACCACGTCTGATGTATCCTAACGCCTTCTTGTACCATTGGATGACAAAACCCTTTTGTTCAAAGCTGAGTTGTCTGTGGGATCTCAAGCCCTATTCTTTACTCACTTGCTCCCTGGATCTTTAGTCTCTCCTGTATCCACTCCCTTCCCCTGCGCCTGCCTCACTCCCCTAGCATACAGACAAATGCTAAGGTGACACTCCACCAAGGCAGGCACTGCATCTGTCTGATTCACTGCTATCTCCTTTGTGTCTGCCATAGTGCCTGACTCAAAGAAGGGATTCAATAAGTATTTTAAAAGAATAACTGAGGTCTCTCCAATCAAAAAAAAAAAAAAAAAGATATTTCTTTTGATTTCAAACTTCCCTTGGCCATGGCTCTTTCTCTTCCTTCCCTCCAAGGTAAGGTCTACACTTACTGTCTCCACTTCCTATTGACCATCCATTCCTGGTTTGTAAGGCCTGGTTTGCACTAGGGATCCACTGAAATTCTGTTAAGGTTGCCCAGGTCCTCAAGGTTGTACAATTTAAAGGGGGCTATTTAGTCCCTGACTGCCGTTCGTGCTGATGAATTTCTCAATCTTGGCCACACCTTCCTTCTTGAAACTCTTCTGGTTCTCATCTTACCTTTCTGGTTGTTTCTTTTCACATACTTCAAAGGCTTTTTTTCTTCCTATGTTTGACTTCATCGTCTCCCCTCATTCTACCTGCTGTTTTGGATAATCTTACCTACTCTTTTGGTGTCAAGCACCACATTCTGATCATCCTGCTGCTGCTGATCAGTGTGTGACTTCTACCACACACTTTGCGTATGTTGTCTCCTTTAACCTTCATAACAGCCTTGTCCACTACAGCCCACTATTATGAACTAGGAAACTGAAGCCTGGAGAGCTTGAGTCACTTATCACAGGGGATGGGGGGCAATTTGCACTTGACCCTAAAGCCCATCCCCTTGACTGCTGCACAAGAATGCATCTACCACATACACCCTAATGATGCCCAAGTGATCTGCTCCCACGGAAGCCTCCTTCCTGAGTTCCAGATGCATACAGGCCATTAAATATTTCTATCTGGATAGCCTATAGGCTCCTAGGTCTCAATTTAGTTATTTTTAAAGCTAACTCCGTCTCATCCCCCTCCTTCCCAGAATTTTTTTCCCCTCCTATACGCTGTATCTAGGTGAATAGCATCACTATTCACTGAATGGCCAAGGGGTCATTCAGATTCCTTCTTCATCCTATTGCTACCTCTGACTCCACCATCCACTCTTTCTTTTTTCTCCTAGAGAAAAGGTGCCCCATCCTTCAATCCACCCGTCACATATTTCCTGGAGTAACTTAATCAACACAAGATTTCTCATGTCACTGCTAAAAATTCTCTAATAACTCCCCGTATACAATTCTCGGGAATCTGGCTCTGTCTATATCTCCAACTTTATATTCTCCCCTAAAATGACCTCCTTGGTGCACCTTTTGGCTCTGAAGATAGAGAACTAGTTATGGTTCCCCATACAAAATGTGATTTCTTATGCCTCTGAGCCATGGAGCATGCTGTTCCTCTCTCCTCAGAATGTAATCCCTGCCACAAACTGCAGAGGGTCTGAGATTTTACCTTACTTGCAAACTAACATGTTAGCCTGCCACAAGTTAGCCTGCTGGTAGAAAACATGAGATTCCTGGGTTGGAGACGAAGGACAATTTATTACTCGGAGCAGTCACAGTAGCCAGACCGTCAGCATTTGTGTTGGTTCCCTGACACCCAATTCCCAGAGGTCAGGTGACATCTGTATCATGGTGGGTTACGGGAAAGGAAGCTGAGTTTAGGGAGCCGGAATATTTTACAGTGGGAAGTACAGGAAGCAAGCATGTCTGCCCTTTGCTGCAGAGAAGACTCTATTTCTATCTTCCATGACTGTTTGCTGTAGAAACATGATGGAAAAGGTAGTTTGGAACACAGGCACTCAATGCCCTGCTCACAAGATGTGGTAGAAACAGGAAGGACCCATGGAGAGTCATCTCCCAACAGTCCCCATCCTTGTCTTCTATTTCCAACTGGTACTTAAGTCCTACTTCAGGCAACTACCACCTCTTTTCTCCAAGGTGTTTTAGCGCATGCATCAGCAGGCATTTCTGAACTTGCTACCCAATCACCATATTCGAGAGTTTGAATAGGTGTCCCTCAAGAAGACCATAAGCTTCTTGAACTCTTAAGGTTTGGGGTTTCCAAAATCAGTACTCAAATTTTAAACCTTTTCTGAACTGGAACTGAAGTCTATTCTTTTTACTCTATGTTTTTCTGTATAATATATATGCACAATGCTAAGAGCAAATTTTTTAATATAATGTGAACATAATTCATAGCTAATTTTTTTTCAAATGTTCAAGAAATAAAAAATAAAGCAATACTTTATTTACAGCTCAGGCATTTCATGAAATTAAAGTCCCTGACTACATTTTAAAGCACAGCTTCTCCTAATAATGAAAACGGACTTGAAGTTCATATAATCCCATAAATAATGATCTCTCTTTCTCTTTATTCTCTCTCTCACAGGTGAAAAAGACATTAAATGTCTGGATCAACTTCTACTCCTGTAACAGAATCTGTTTCATGTTCTAACTGTTGACAGCTGCTAATCCCAAAACATGTTTAAAGAAGCACTAGAATTATTACAAAGGATAAATCTGAGCTCTATCAATTATTTTAGATGAAGCAGTTATTAATATAGTGGCAACAAGCATAGCAGAATTACGTTCAATTTCCTTCTTAGAGTATAGATGTACACAGTACAAAAATAACTCAGTCACTTAAATCAGTTGATAATAATCAGTCATCAAATGAGTCCTGCCCTTTCACTGACGAAACTATTTGAATGCCTAAAGTTTTTGCTTTTCAGCCAGCTGTAGCATGTTCTTAGCTTCTCTGTAAAAGGTAGATTAGACCTTAGCACTGTTCATAAACTATCAAATAATAGGTTCTACCTCCAACATAGCCATAATTATTTATAAGCAATTCAGATTCTGCTAATATAAGATTCAGGGTAACTTAGATCCACCTGGTGAGTTTCTACATTACTTGTCAATAAAAAGTTCCATAACAGAGATAAACTATGTAAATAATATTAGGGATTTGGTGCAAAAGTAACTGCAATTTTTGCCATTAAAAGGAATGGCAAAAACTGGCCGGGCGCGGTGGCTCAAGCCTGTAATCCCAGCACTTTGGGAGGCCGAGACGGGTGGATCACGAGGTCAGGAGATCAAGACCATCCTGGCTAACACGGTGAAACCCCGTCTCTACTAAAAAATACAAAAAACTAGCCGGGCGATGTGGTGGACACCTGTAGTCCCAGCTACTCGGGAGGCTGAGGCAGAAGAATGGCGTGAACCCGGGAGGCGGAGCTTGCAGTGAGCTGAGATCCGGCCACTGCAACAGAGCGAGACTCCGTCTCGAAAAAAAAAAAAAAAAAAAAGGAATGGCAAAAACTGTAATTACTTCTGCACCAGTTTAATATTAACAAACCATTCGATTATTTTTTAAAGCCATCTCAATCCACATTATTTGCACTCAACCTTTGACCTTTCTTTAAGCCCCAAATAGAACCTCCTATTCCAAGGAGAACTGTTATGTTTCATACCCTCAGCAAGAAATACTGTGATTCCAATGAGCTTCTAG